TTACTTATTGCGCAACAGTTTCTGTATTTTTGCTGGTAAACATATTCTTAATTCAAGACTAAGGGTGTTCCACAAGGAGCCAGACTTCTCAGCCCGCTAGTTGGCAGACCTTACGCGTCGTCCAACCTCATATGGAATACAACTTATGCCCAAAGTGGCAATAGCATTCAATGCTCAGTAACGATTGCTCATTCCATAAGATAGTGATGGATCGATCTCGCTCCTAGTCACTAGCAACTAACCAGTCTGAAAATGGCAAGGTCGGACAGAACAACTCGCGCGAGAGGTGATAGAAATACCCTCCAGTTGAAGAAGACACACACAACTGAGCTATACAGTAATTATTTGGACTTAACCATCAATATAGTAAACGGCCAAATTACTACTGGTTTATATAATAAAACAGATGACTTTAACTTCAAGTGGTATTAGATTCCCACACACCCGCTCGATCAAATATCTCACTAACAACAAGGCTTCCGTTATATACACAGAAACCCTTAGGATAGCCAACACCTGTACTTGCTTTGATACGTTTATTGGAAGAATATCGGATATGGTAAGAATGCTTTATAGCAGTGGTTACAGTGAGGACTTCATTATAGCTAGTATAGTGAGGAGTATTTATAGAAATAAACTTATATGTTACAAATACTCTATTATGAATGATTACGGTAGCATAAGCAGATTAGTCCGAGGTATTCTCAGTGGCTTTTTCGTTTAAATTGGTGTCTATGTAACACATTTTTTTTACCCGCATGTGTCGTGTAGTATTTTCGGATATTATATTGTAACATCAACTGATAGTTTTTCGTAATTACGACGTCCTACTCACGTTATCCAATCAATTAGCATTCTTAAACCTCTCAGTCTTTATCGTTTTCAACTTTATATCTTATAAAAACTTGCTGCAATTGATTTTTCTTCCTTTCCTTACTGAAGAGCACGGAAGGAGGAATATGCTTTTGCTCGGCTTCCGTCTAAGGGCACGTGCGAAACGGAAGCTGAGCTATCTCTTGCTTTCGACCCCCTCAATAATTCTCATTTATTAGATTTTACAACATAGTTCATTAATCTGTCCTTATTTGTGCAGTTTTTAGTCTTTCTATTAAGAAGTCTAAAAAAAAAGAACGAAGCTCTAGTCGACCATGCTCACTTTTCGCGTCGACCTGACACTCGAACTTGAGTCGCTTGAGAAAATTTAGTCTGGAAATTTGGAATCATTAAGAACAAAACCACAAGGAGAGCTGTTACTCACTAGGGATCTTTCTCTGCAAAACAGCTGCAAAACACGAACTAGGCCGCAAATAACCTTCCATCTATGGCACGAAATTTCAGAAAAAAAAAAACCCACTACTAAGAGTCGCTTGGCGTAGGAGTGTCCTAAATACAAAGGCGTCAGGCTGAGGCTGCTCTCTCTAGATCTGATAGCAGAGGCGGGTAGAATTATACTTAGATAAACCCCGGACACTCAACAGACCTATCCTCCTGTTGTGGTAGTTACGTAACGTGCACATGGCGCCGTGCTTTGTGCTCTCTCGTCATTGTTGCCGTCCCATGGAAATGGAAATGGAACGCCGGGAATCCCGAACGGATTGATCTACGTTACAGACTTTATCCTTGCTAAACTCTGTGATAAAAGTCTTTAGTATTGCGGTTGTTTTTCTACGGGAAACCGAAGGGCCTCACTCGCAAGCGTGTTTAACGACGAGCCTCATACAGAAATCGAAAGCCGTGTATGGGAGGTGGGACCGAATGCGCCAACGATGCTATAAGTTCCCGTAGCACGAAAGGTAGTTAAAGGCGCTTGAGCGCAAGTATTGTTCAGTGACCTCCGCCAAATTTGCCCATTGCTGCATGTGTCGTCTTGTCTCACTGCGTGCTGGCTGCCTTTTCTGATCGTTGTCGCCTGTATATCCTCAAAAAATCTTCGTCTCTGGCTTCGAGCAAGCGGACTTTATTTGGGACTTTTCTGTGGTTCCATCTGCTTTTTTCTTCACGAATATCAATCGGTACATGCACTTTTGTTTTCAACTCCGATGCCTACAAACTTTCCAACACCCCATCGCGAAGTTTATTTGGGCGATTGACTATGAGCCAAAGTATGGAAAAGGCGGTACGCGTGTTCGAGCCGGCGGATGGCATAAAACACGATCACGGCCCAATGACTACCTTAGTAGAAATCGGATGCAAAGTTGTTGCCCTGTCATGCAAGATACCGTTTTCGTTTGTCATAGCCGAAGGTTCTTTTTCCGAGCCCACAAGCATTGACGCCTGTTCCAGCCACTATCAATCAAGTGATGGGTCAATGACCAGCATATATCACTTTGCCAAGTTACGCCATTCTTTAATCTCATTAATCCTCGGGAACCCATCGATCTGCCTTTTCTTTTTCAAAATCATCAGCTGGTCTTCAGGTAGAATCAGCCGAGTTCGATTTTCTCCTTGCATTCCACTCTTGAAGCAGTCAGTCACCAACGAATTCTTTCTTCTTGTCCATCAGAATTCCACTCCCTTCAGACTCTACCCTCGTCACTCTTGCTCTTAGTTCTTATACTTTTATACTTTTAATTTACACTCATTCGCTTTATGGTATGAAAGCTGCACGTTTAATTTTGTACTGATTTTTTTTGCAGAACATTCCATGTCTGAAAAATCGCCAGCAGTTTGCTTGGCTGTCTGGAGCTACTTGCTCGTTTGTGCTTCCTCTGTGCTCTATGACCGCCCCTATATCCCTACGACTCCGCCAATCCCGGTGGTTCCAAGGTCACCAAAGCCGAACGATAAGCTACACCTTGTTCAAGTAGTAAGTGCTGGGTATGATTCTCCTTCCATGATGGTTGAATAAGGATATAAATTCATGGTCTAAAATTGACTGATTTAAATTTAAGGTCTGGCGCCATGGAGATCGTGCCCCAACGATGACCTATCCAACCGACGTACATCAAGAAGACGCATGGCCCTATGGATGGGGAGAGCTCACTGAGGTAAACAGTTCGAAAGAATTCATAGAAGAGAAAGAGGTGTCAAGCGTTTTTTTTAAGAAGTTTCCTCTGTTTTCGCTACCGTTCATCAATTTGAAAAAAAAAACGTTTGAGAACTTTGTTGAACGCCTTTGGTGCACTTGGGTATGTGTCAAGAGAAACGTAATTTGCCGCGCTGTGGGCGTCGCGTGCGACGTCGCGCCCGCAAGTGGCGATGGTTACGAGTAGTAGATGGAGACAACAGGCAATTGGAACCGAAAGCGGTCATGAATGTCTACAATGACGGGGTCTACATGAAGTTCGGTGCTCCAATCGACAGGTTAATACGAGTTAAGAAAACGCCGCGCCCATCGCCGCGCGCGGCGGAGCGGCAAATTACGATTCTCTTGCCCGTCTTCCGGCGCATTTAACCAAAGCTAGCCATCAGTCAAAAGGCATGGAATGAGCCAACCCGTAGCATCTTTTAGCACTGTCTGTTTTCTCACTGAACACGGCAATGATTGGTAGAAAACGCAGCCGGGGTGTGCTCATTCCACGCCTCTGGGCATGACCCCGACTGGCCGCTGATTTCGTGACAGCTCGAACTTATCTGCATGCTTCTGTTAAAACAGCAGACAGCAAGAGGGCAGTGGGTGCTATAGCATCGGATGGTACAAAAACGTGTGACGAGCCGGGATATTGCAAAAGGGGCAGCTTCCAGGGTGGCCGAACCACCTACCGTGCGGGAAAAACTGGCCTGTATGTGATCACAGCGGTCAGAGAACGCTGCGCAGATGAGAGACTATAGAGAAAACAGGAAATGGGCACGAGCAAGGAAAATAAGTTCAGGTTATCCGTGGGTCCTAACTGGTAGATGTGAACTACACTCCTTATCCCCGAGCCAGAGTAGGCGTGGCATTTGAACATGGCACGGAACTGGTTACTCGTGGAATGTCTGGGACAACTGTCATCTTGTTCTGTGTTGGACAGAGACACGACAACAATTGTGTCAAGATGAAAATATCTCACCAGAAGCATAGACACCTTCAGGTTAAGTTGAAACATGCGGCCACGCCTACCCGATCTCAGGGATTTCGAGTATATATGCTGGACTATCGCATAGCTGATTTATTTCGGCAGTAAGAAAGGGCATGGTAGAGATGCAGAAACAATCTGAGCGACGTCACACATCCGCAATATAATCTTCCGCCAGCAATTTTCATCCTGAGATCAGCAGGTCATTGCCACATTTGTATGTAAAGTGATTGAAATGGTGATGTTACTCGTTGTCTGAATCAAAACAGTCTTTTCGGGTGCGGATGCTGGGCGTGGCAGAAGAACCGGCTTTGTGCGTCGTCTGTCGCTACCCCTCTTCAATACATGGAGGGAAACGGGCTAATGCCCCGCTGAACCTAACCACTCTGACACGTTCCAGCATCCGCAACGAACAAGACAGTGTCCTCACTAATGCAGTGGTACTTGGTTGTCGGGGAAGGCGAGTCTGACACCAGCTGGTTGATCATTGCAAGTCATTGCGAAGGCGAAATCGCATCCGACTGCAGCAGTGGTTTGAGGTGGTATTTGAAGGCACAGCGAATCCCACCCATGAAAGATCTTATTTTTATGCGAAGCATAAAAATAAGACCACTTTTTGCATAAAAATAGGATCACGTAGTCTACTGACTTTCCGAAGGACATATACCGTTTCATTTTTATTCTACAGGCAACTGCTTCAGA